TCAAAGCCTTGCACAGACTGTGAACATGCTTATTTTAGAAAAATCTGTCAGCCGTTAAGAAAATACTAATCTGTATGCCCTGAAACAAACGTACACATGACACATTAAAGAGAGGCAGAAGAATTCAAATGTATCATTTTTCCATCTTTATTTCATGTTTCGATATAGCAGGAAATTTGTACGTGAACAAGATACTTGCTGTAAATAAACTCTTAATATTCCTTACTAATCCAGAGGGATCTATTAATCACTTTTGTGTTTCTGTGACAAAATAATTGAAAATATCAACTTAAAGGAGAAAAGAAGGTATATTTCAGCTCTCAGTTTCAGAGGTTTTCATCCAAATCCTGCTAACTCCATTGCGCTTATGCCTGTGGTGAGGCAGAAATACCATGTGGGAGGGCGTGGCAGAGAAGGCTGCTCACCTGCTGCAGCCAGGAAACAGAAAGGGACAGAGCCTGAGAGGACAGGGCCTAGCACCAGATATGGTCCCCAAGGTCATGGCCCAGCAGCCCGCCCCACACCAGGGCAGCCAGCAGTGAGCTGGTGGACATCAGAACTAGGAATCTTACAGGCAAAAAGAGGGATCAGAATGGGCAAGACAGGGATTCATCACCTCCTAATAATGCCATCAGGTTATGTGCTCATCAGTGGATTGATCTCCTATAGTGATTTTAAAGCCACATGGTCCAATCATTTCCCAAAATGCCCAGCGACTGGTAGCCAAATCTTTAATTCATGAGACATTACGAATCTAAATGATAATAAGAGATCTGTTAGGAAAAAACACAAAGCAGGTTAGTTAGTATAAATTCTGTGGACTCAATAGGAGGTTTGTAATTTACTGATTAAAAACTATAGTAAGACCTTTTCAGCACTGTTGTCTAGTTTTTACAAGACTTCTTAGCACCATACATCAATTAGGTTCATCCAAATGCAAGCACTATAGACTTCCTCCTTGCTGGCCACCAAGGGAACTATTATAAAGAAGTCTCCCAAATGGATCCCATCTCATTTCCCTTGTAGTTCCACAAGGATGCGCGCACACACACACACCTGACAGCTTGGGTACCTATGGGGAAGGGTGGCTGGGGGATGGGTGGGAGAGAGAATTTTCCCCAAACTGGCCTTTTCAATCTTGCATCATATGATTATACATATTTCCTATCCACAAATAAAAAGTCTCAAAGTTTTATTTGCTTCACGAAGACAACTATGGTTCAAAAATTTTGATTCCACTATTTTAAAAAAGTGTATCTTAAAAATGAGCTAAGAAAAAAACCTAGGTGACTATAAGTTTGTGCATCTCAATTTAGTCATCTCAGGCTTCCTATTGTACCTCTTGGAGAAAGAAAAGCAACTGTAGGTCCCTCCCTCTCTTACTGAATTAGCCGAACACCTGAAGCCTTCATCCTACAGAGCCCATTCCCTGGGGATCCCTTCGGTACCACTTTTTTTTTTAACCTTCCGAGAATGGCTATGATTAAAATAGCCACTACCTTATGAAAGAGTTGCTGGCTCAGACCGGACACTTTAACCAGGAAAAGCCGCAGCCAAGTTAGGGGGCTCCTGTCTCCCCCGCCCCTATAGATTTACCTGTAACCCTATACCCCCATCCCTAGGAACCTGTTTCTGGCGCTAAACGTGTGCCAATGAAATACCTGTGCATCTCTAATGGCCTTAGGGCTCTGCCCTAAGCTTAGGCTATTTATATTCCCCCACGCCACGTGTCCGAGAGAGAGATCGCCAGATTCCAGCGGCCAGTGCGCCAGTCTTCTCTCCCCGTGTTCCCGGAATAAAGGCCTCCTTTGTCTTACACTCCTCAACTTTTGGAAGCATCTTTTATCCTTTCAAGATAATCCTATCACCTTATAATCAGGGAGCATGGCCTTGGAAAATGGAGTCAGGCCCTCAATTCCAGGCAGTTGGAGAGCAAGGTACACCTCACTACTCTTCCCAGCTGCTGGAGGGCAGGGCAGTCAGTGGTAGGCTGGTGGACATCAGAATTGGGGATCCTACAGGCAAAATGAGGGGTCAGAATGGGCAAGGCAGGGACCCAGATGTCTGCCTGAAGAACATGTATTCATTCACAGCAAGGTGGTATTCAGAGGGTGTGCCTGACCGGCTGGCCATGCAAAGGGAGATGGGCCTAAGGAGATTCAGTAGAGAACAGGCAGAGAAAAACTGGATTTTCTGGTTGTTAGTGATGGGGACTGCTCTGCAGGGAGCAAGCCAGGGAGCCTGCACTGGGGTAGAAGTGAGGGTCAGACAGCAGCACAAAGGAAGGGGCTTCATATTCTATGTGGACTCTGAGACCTGCAGCATCCTCTAAGGAGGGTTCTGCCCCCAGGACAGGGTCTCAGCATGTGCAGGGAAAGTTGAAGACAAGACCCATGAAGTAAAAGGACAGGGACACGAAAAGCACACCTCACCTTCTCCTGGGTGTGGGAGCATCTCTAAGAATTTTCCAGATTTTACAGTATTTACTGAATTTCCTTAAGAATACGTGTGAATGGATGCTCCTTTGAAGTTGTATATATTGCTGGCGTGAATAGCTAAAAGTACACTTCGAAGTGTAATACGCAACTAGAGAATAAAATAGATTTCTGCTTAAGCTCTTCCTTAAATAAGATTAAAATCATAATTTTCTGCTTCGCCACCACAAATTTTCCCAGTGGCAAAATTTCTGCTCTTCCTTAAAAAATTGGTAATCCTATAGCTATGTCAAGTTGACATGTCATTTTGGAAGTGACAGAAATATCCTGGAACTATAGCAGTGGTGATTACACAAATGTGTGACTATATTAAACGCAGGCACAATTTAAAAGGCTAAATTTTATAGTATGTGAATTATATCTCAATTTTCTTGAAAAAAAGATGTATCTACATATAAAGACATAAAGAGGCAGAAGCTGAGGAGGGAGAAATGGGTTTGAATAAATAATCTGTGAAACTCATTTAACAGTTAAAACACCTTGTCACTTTGGAAGCCAGCGATTCCTTGCTTTTGGGAGGAGGTGAAGTCCAGACTAAGCGCTGGATGGATTGAATGAATCACGGCCACACTCTGGCTTGTGCGAGCAAACTGTCCCCTTGTTCAGTCAGCTGGTACTCAACATGCACCAGACTTGGGGCCCAGGACATGGCTGGAGGTGTCTGACAATGCTCCTTAGTGGCTGCTTCAGTTCTTAGCAAATTCCCCTAAAAAGTACCTTTCTGCAAGTCACACAGACAGAGTATGTGCTTATCTTACAGGCACCGTGCAACTTTCTTAATGGGTCAGAAACAGTAGATGACTTTGTCATCTAACTAAGGCCCCCACACACATTTCTCCTGTTTGCCTGGACATCGGCCCGCAGCAGCATTCGCCTAGCCTTGGTTAGATGAAGTCTAGTGTCTGTGGAGAGTGAAAGTGAGTCCCAGGAGGCAAGTCCACGTACAACTCTGGCACGTGTTGCTCCAGCAACCCAGTGCGACCTTCTTATTCCCCTCAAAGTCACTGTGTTCCAGCCTTCACTTGCCTGCCCAGGGTGAAGGCAGAGACCCATCCCCTCAACCCCACTCCACTAGTCTTGGGTTTCCTGAGTTGATGCTTTCTTTGTAAGATTTTCCTCCATAACTGAAGTGTTTTGGGCCTGTCTGGCTTCTTCCAAGCTGTATTATTTTGACACGTTCCTGCCAACTCTCTAATACATAGATAAAACCCCCTTCACCGTGACCAGCCTCTGAGTGCCTCTGTTCCCACCTCCCCTCAGCTGATGTCAGCCCTCAGCCATCTGATGGTCTCCTAGAGCCTCCAGCCAGCCGGAAGGCCAGAAGGAAGGGCAGAACTCACTGCCCTTCTGTGAACTGTTGACTGTGCGATATTCTCGCCCCTCCCCCTCACTTGCTGTTTTCCTTATCTGGTCCATTGCTTTATTTCCCATAAAGCTGAGCTCACTGTCTAGGTCCATAAGAAGACCTTCCTGGCTTTTCTGCTGAGATCAATCCACTGGCTCTGTAGTACCCCCCGCCTGGTGTGTGTTTGCTGTGCTACGCTAAATCCTTGAAGAACAGGTCTGGGGCTTCCTATCTGCAGACCCAGTGGAGAACTCAAGTAACTGTGCTCCCACCGAAGCACAGTCTGTTCGGCTGAGCCCAGTATTCAGTTTCTGTCTTGCATTTCTAAGACAACTGCTTGGCATCAGCAGTGTTTATTGGTGTTGTCGTTTTTCATACAGTGAGAAAGCTGCTGAGAAAAATAACTTTACTGCTACCACCTGTAAGACTGTCTGATGATTCTATGAGACTTGGTGGTTTTATTCACTATACCAAGATGGGCAGATTCAGAGATTAGTATTTATATTAGAATCATACTGTTTTGGATCAGAAAGGAAACAGAAACTCAAAATGACTAAGCAGCTTATTCAGAGTCCCTCGGGCAGTAGCTGGCTGGGACTTAGCTCGTGAAAACTTCCTGTAATACCTTGCTGTCCTGACTTATTAAAATTCTCTCCCTGTTTAACATGTTTGAAAGTGAGCAGTATTAAATATCTTTTACAATTCAGAAATAGTTTATAGGACCAAAGTTGCCCTCCCAGGTATAAACACAGAAAGGGACCCCATTATGCTCCGGAGGTATTGTAACCAGATACCATGGGACCCCAGAGAATGTCCACCGTCTGACCCCGGAGAAGTGAGTCTACGTTAGTATGTGGCTTGTGTAAAGCAGTTTTCAACTTTTTGTGTACAGTTTGCACATTTCCTTTAATCTACCATTTCACCATGTGCATCACTGAAATGTTTTATAAATGTTTAGGTAGATATTGTGCCTGGTGCTAAAGGTTGGTCTTCTACATTCTCAGGCTGTGATAGGGAGGGGACAGTTTTGGAAGTGATCTTATGAGCAGCTTATGGTGTTTTCTTATACTTTTTACAAGTGCAATTGAGTGATTCACATTTCATGTTACCCAAAGAAGAGCTTGTGCATAATGTCTTTCTCTTGTCTATTTCTGTTTCAGGTGACCTTCCAGGTCACTCCTCCGTGTGTTACTGACAGGCAATACAAGCATGCTGGGCGGTGCTGCAACAAATGCGAACCAGGTAGGCTTGCTCCTGAGCATCTGCCAGTGTCCTCCAAGGTGGGGAGACACTTCTGCTGGTGGATATTTTGTTCTGTCCTATTAGATGAAGAAAGAAATTGGATAGACTTTTCATGGTAGTAGCAGGAATAATGTCTCTCATTTGGAAAACAAAAACCTTTTCCTCCACACAAAAAAGTCACCTAAAAATCAAAAGGAGTTTCAGAAACTGGCATTTAATTTATGATGAAACCCAATTTTCCAAAACATTATTTCTTGAGAAGGCAAGATTTTCAAAATCATATTTTAGCACTTTAGACTCAAACTCTCACAATGTGAAATGCAGCTCTTATTTCAGATTATTTTCACAGTCCTTTTATTTTGGAATAACCACACTGGAATTCTTAGCACAGAATTGCCAAAGCCTTGGTAGGCCTTTTCCTGCCTTGCCCGCCACGGGGCAGGAGGGGAGCTGACCACCAGTTCTGCCAGGGTGTAGCCAAGTGTTTCTGCAGGCCTTGTGAGGTCCTCATTCTCTCATTGCTCTGGAGGAGGGTGGGGAAGGTGGGTTACGTTAGGAACAAGACCCTTTGGAGGTTTCAGTTACAAAATATTTCTTGAGGTGTAGAACCAATATCCAATGATTTTAAGTGGGTGTGTTGTGCGTGCCCGTGCATGCGGGCGTGCATGCATTTTGGTCAAACTAATTTAACCATGAGCCCATCATGTTTGTAGAATACAAAAAGTTAACTATGCAGAGTAGGGTTGAGGGGACTTTGGAGACGGCAAGATGGAGGGGGTAATGAAGTTCCTTTTGCTTAGCCCTCTAATTCCCTGAGTGGGTTCTAGGGAACTCCTCACGTTCCTTAAAACTCAGCTTAAATCCATAGTTCCACTCCACAGCCAGCAGACTTTGGGGGGTAGGAAGGCAGTTGGTCTTTTATTTAGATAAACTAAGAAGCTTCTGTGACCACATTGTTAGGCACACCAAATCCAGGATGGGATATCTTAGCCAGTCAGGGAGCCTGCACAGCCTGGGTACCTCATTCATCTCATACATCACGTTGCCTTTGCTTGTGGGGGGAAGTTTCTGGGGTTATGGTCACATAAACTGGACCAGTAAATTGACTTTTTCTTCATTTCTATTTATTTAATACTGGGGACTGAAGCCAGAGTCCTCTGAGCTATACTTCACGAGTGTATTTTTTATTGCTGTTTTGCATTTGATGAGTGCATTTTTGGTTATCGTTTTGTGTTGCATTCTTGTCATTTTGTTTTCATTGGCGCATTTTCCCCTTCCAATTTAAGGAAAGTACATGTCTTCTAAATGCACTACTACCTCTGACAGTGTGTGTTTGCCCTGTGGCCCCGATGAATACTTGGATACCTGGAATGAAGAAGATAAGTGTTTGCTGCATAAAGTTTGTGACACAGGTGGGTTAGTCTCTTCCATGTGTCAGTGGCATGTGTAGAAACTCAGTATCCATCTTTTGTCTCATCTGTTGTTTCTCTGACCTGTTCTTTATAAATATTTTTAATACAGCCAGTTCCTTTGAATGGCCTGGGAAGGAATTATGACCATGGTTTTGGATCTTCTATGCCCAGGATTTTTAAAAAATTACATTTAGGACTTTTGTTTAGAATGTGTTTATGTTGCAGTGTAATCACGAACACATCACACATTTGATAGAATGTCCCCACCATATTGGTATGTGTTGCCGCATTTAATCTTCTTGAGCCCCGTGAGGTAGTCATGCTTGTCCCATTTCACACATGCAAAAACTAAAACATAAACGGTTAAATGACTTCTCCAGTACTATCTGATGAGGAACAGGACTCAAAACCAATTCTGACTTAAAAACCTTTTTCCTAAACTACAAACTTTCTGTGGCCTCGACAACATGTTGCAGGGCTGCCTTGCCAGACTCACCTTGGGCATTTCTGCCATGAACTGTAATCACACCTTTCTCCACAGATGCCTGACTGCCTTTACTGGTGCATTTTATTTAGTGACCTTAGCTGGAGTGCTTATGTGATTTTTTTGCTACTGAACCAGTCCTCATTGTGGTCTTTCTGAACTACTTGGTCCCTGAACAAAGCCAGGGAATAAGTATTTTTCAAACTACAATTTTTCTAATGTGTTAAAGATGGCTGGATATTTCTGGCTGGAGAAGGTAGCATGGAAACTTCACTGAGCAGAAGCATCTGATTAAGTCTTTTTTATTTCCTACTGCTTAGTAATGACCTTGAATCATCGCTGTCTTTTGGAAATAAAGATTCATTCTGTCTACTGCCAAAGTTGATTAAAGCTTGAAACGGGGTGCCTTACAGTACTTTGGAAAATGTCAACAAATTCAACACCCTATAGTCTTACATTTACTTACATTTGAATAGGATACTGGAAGCCCTTGGATTTTTCTGGAGAAGTGCCATGTATTCATCAGGTTTTCATGTGCTATGTATGTTTCATTGGCATTGCTGCAGAGCTGACTTGGGCTTTGGGTCTGGACACAGGAGGGAATGGGCACTTCCTCAGGTTCACCACGCTTGGGTCTAAAAAGAACAGAAATAAGAAATGCTCTCTCTCTATCGACTATAACTTTGGACAATAAAGAAGGGAACAGATTTCTGATTTGTTTTCTCTACCCCTGAAATTCCTAAATGTATTTGGGAATGTAAAGTGAGAGGGCTATTTGGACAATCCAGCTAAGACAGAGTTCTATGCAGGTACAAGATCTGTTTTCAATCATGTTACAGATTTGTATTGTGTTTGTGCATGTGCACAGCTGATTCTCCTTATTCACAGTAGTTACATTCTATAAAGAAACCACAAATATCGAACTAGCAAATCCTGAACCATTGTTCTCAAGGAAAGTAAAACGTTAGGTACTGGTGATACCATTTTCATCAGCCAATCAACATACAGCCTTGTTATTTGTGCTAACATTGCACCATGGCAAGCATCACCATAACTCACACTGATAAGTTTACCACATACAGGTGTTTTCTCCATAAAGTGTCTCCCAACTTTCTGCACTTAGAACACTAAATGACACTTAAGCATGATGTTTGGGTCCATCTTACACAAGGAAATCCCACAGAAAGCATACAAATGGAGGAAATGTGGCACTGGATAGGCTCTGGGAAGGACATTTGCATATAGTGTGAGAGCTTGTCCAGCCTCAGCAAGGAACCTGCCTGCAGAGTGACTTCACATTTACATGGTTTTTCATGTGTCCATAATGATTGTGAAAATGTCTACAATACAAAATTTCTTCACAAAGAAATTTTAGCAGGTCGGTGAATTCACAAATATGAGTCTGTGAGTAATGAAGATCTGTGCACAAGTGTGTGTGTATGTGTGTTAAATAGCATCGATTAAATTCCCGTGTACCACTATTACAGAAAAACTGAAAGTGGTCAGATTTGACATAGGCAAACAAGTATTTTGCTAATGTCTTACGATAAAAGAGAAACATGCTATCCTAAGTGTTTGGAGGAGAGACTCATTCTCCCTGTCCACCTGTGCTTTCTCTGCTTATCTAACTTTCTTGGGACCCTTCAGGATGTCAAGATGAGTCCAAATCGCCAGAAGCCCTGTTGTTTCAGGTCGAAAGAAGCCTCAGAGTTAAGATTGGAAACGTTTAAATTTAATAAAATTCAGGAAGCTGTGCAGTTTGACTAGCTTGCATTTACTAAAGTAGAGATCACACACTCCTGGGTCCTTAATCTTCCTACTAGCACGAAAATTAACTTTTTGCAATGCTCACAAAACTCAAAACTCTTAGAGAAAAAAAAAAAAAAAGTCGCTGGTGTTTTTGTTCTAACACAGGAAGAGCCAGGAGGAACTTGGGAGTTCCTTAAAGCAAGCCTGCTGAGTGAGTCATTCTGCAGGCCAGCCAGTTTGCTCTGTCCTGGCGTTTTGGGGCTGGATGTTGCGCAGCCGCACGTGGTGGACAGTGTGTCTGTGCTTTCTCCACCTTGGTGGCCACTGACCTGTGTTATGTCTCCTGCAGGCAAGGCCCTGGTGGCGGTGGATCCTGGCAACCGCACGGCCCCGCGGCGCTGCGCCTGCACGGCTGGGTATCACTGGAGCCAGGACTGCGAGTGCTGCCGGCGCAATTCGGAGTGCGGGCCTGGCTTTGGCGCTCAGCACCCCTGTACGGTTGTGTGTCTGTGCGTGTGCGTGTGCATGTGTGTGTGCACGCGCGTGTTCTGCAGTCTGCTCCCACAGTGGAAAATCAGAGCTCAGCGAACCTCCGGGCAGTTTGTATTTGTGGCATCGTTAAGCAGGCCATGGTGACCCCTTGGTGATCCTAGCACTCTGGGAGGATGGCAAGGTGAAGCCCAGCCTGGGTAATTTAGCAACTTAGTGACACTTTGTTTCCAAAAAAAAAAAGAAAAAAGGAGGAGTAAGCCCCGGGAATGTAGCTCCTTTGGGTAGGTGGAGATCATTCATGCTTCCGGGAGCCAGATGACAGTAGAGGAACCTGGGGGTGGAGACCCTTGATTTTCCACAAGAGATGGGCGCAGGCAAGACCCGAGGAAGAATCACTGGCTAGGGTTGTCTGAAGGGACTGTGAGCTGTGACCTGCATTCCTTTGTCACATGGCTGGGGCACTCGGGCTGCACAAACAGCAGTAAACCCTAGGATGCTCAGGGTAGCACAGGGATCCTTCCGGGTGTTTTGTTTTTTTAAAGACAGTCTCCCTATGTACATAGCCCAGGCCACTCTCGATCTTTTGATCTTTCTGCCTCAGTCTCTCCAGTGCTTAGATTTCAAGGCTACATCACCACTCTCAGCGCTTGCTCCCCGCCCCCCCCTCTCCTTTTTTAATTGTGCACCTGCTTAGAAAAGGAAAAACAAACAAAAAACCTGCACCTCATTTGACATCTACAGTTTTTTATTACCCGTTTAAAGAGTTACTAAGGACTTAGTTATCAGGGAATTAAAACTGCAGTGAACACATTTAAAAATAGTCATCGGACTCTAAACACCATAGCAATTTGATGCCCAGCACCATCCACTTTAAAATGTACTATTTTTCACTCACGAGCTTTATGGAGTTTCTCTCCTTTTAATTTGTATCACTCCATCATCCTCACAAGATTTTATCCCAAAATACGTTTATGCTTGGAGGGATTTTATATTATCATAGTCCATTATATATTTTAAAAGGCACCTATGTAAAATCTCAGTTTTAAAAAATTTACCGAAACAAATTTCTCAGGGTTAAAATCAGCTTTTTTTCTGGAGTAAATTGCCATTATATATGTTATTACAGTTTGTCACAGATGAATATACTTTGCTATATTATAATCTTAAAAGTTTTTAAAAGTCATAGAGTGAAATTTTTCTTATTATTCATAGTTGAATGCTGCTCATTGTTTAAATGCAAAAGGATTCAACATCAGTTTTTTTTCTTCTTTGTGTTGTCATATAAGAGAGAAACCTGTTACTAGTGTGTCCCCCAGTTACTCCAGTACCCATAATCACATAGTGATATGACCTCAGAAGTCATTTTCATGATCTGTCTTGTGATAACTCAATTGTGCCTTTCAGTTTTGTTTTAAGTAAAGAAGCAGAAATCTTTTTGTTATGGGGAAGTGACTCCCAACCTGTTAAATGTCAGATTTTCATTTGTACACCCTCTGAGTTTGTGTCTATTGAAAACCAAAGGACAAGAGAGGCTAAGAATAGGAGAAGTTTGTCAAGACAAAGCTCCTGAGAGACAGGAGGATTCTAAGTGGGTGGCTGCCAAGACTGGTTTTATACAAGGGTATTTTATACAGCAAAACCACATCTTGGGTAACTCTGGGTCAAACTATGATCAACCTACAGGATTACAAGTATAGTCACTTAGCAAATAATGATTCAATAGGGAAATTAGGTACATAGGAAGGATATACAATGTACATCACTAACTTTAGCTTATCTGTTACTTCTGAGGTAGAAAGATCAAAGGCATTCTGAGAAGGGATGGGAGTAAGGAGCAGAGTGTTCTGGTCACCCACCTACACACCTAATACCTTAGCTAGGCTCGCTGGGCTGGGTGGCCCTGAGTACAGTACAATCTCAAGCTGCTGTCTATCTCGAGGGAGCTTTCAGTTCTAGATCTCTGCCGTTTTTTCTCTAGGCACAATTTTGAAGTGTCTCATCTTATCACCCGGCCCCCCTCTGACTTTTAATTGCTATCTAACTTACCTGCCTAAAATACTCTCAACTTGACAGAAGTATTTCTTAGAGTCATCTGCTTTCCTTATTTCTAGAAAGTGTAACAAAACAGTGTTTTCAAGATGTAACAAAAGGGTAGTTATGCCTGTTAACCTTTCACTTAGAGATACCTTGGTTTAAGCCAAAATATTTGGACAGAGTCAAGAGAATTAAACTGTTACTAATTTCAATTCGTGTGGAAGAAAATATCACAGAATCTAACTGGCCTGGTCAATCCTTATCAACTGTCATATGCATTGACATGCCTTCTTATGGGAAAGGCTACCTTGGTTTTTAAATTATTAAACCTCTCTGGCACAGCCAGCTCCCCCTGAATTCTGATTCTAAGACAGACAAAGTACAGAGCCTTTCCACAAGTTTCTCATCTGTATGAGGCAAAGTGCTGCTGCCTTCAGGGTTTCTGAAGATGCCCTTCTTGCTTGGCACCTTTGCGGATGATGCATTCTTTGATAAGTAGGTGACAGAGGACTCCAGATGCATGAGTGAGAATTCACTCCTGCCCAACTCTGCAGTCCATTTGCACTCCAAACAACTCGAATCTGGTCCCAACTGCCCTCTTTCTATGGCACACTTTTGACCTTAGAGAACAGGAAAAGCTGGACTGTGAATGCAGGAGCTTCGTCACCAGCATCTCCATTGTCATTCTGTTTGGCACCATAGCAAGATTTGGAGTGCATAAGAAGTGTGCCTTCTTTTTAGGTGGTGGGAGCAGGACTGTAAAAGGGAGGAAGGAAGGAAAGCCTGCAAGATGCTTCTAAGTGGATCAGTGCCACCCAAGTTGCATGGAAGTCAAATGTATGGAAATGAATGCCCTTAATTCCTTACATGCCTGGTAGCCCCTTGGAAATTCTCTGTTTTTAAGCCTTCTCAAGCTAGATTGTGTTCATTTTTTAGAAAGCTGTTTGATTTGATGCAAGTTATTCAATATTAACTGGCTTTTGTTAATATAATTTCAAGGCAAATCACATTGCCAGATCGAGAGGCAGGTACCTCTCTGACTGATTCTGAGCAGCAGAGAGTCAGGACCAGAGCTGGCCTGGACCTGGGCCTCAGATGCTGGTGGTAGTGGCCTGACATGGAGCCAATTACCTTTCTGAATGCAATTCGTTTACTCACTGTGGACATCAGAAGTGCTTGCTAGGCCTAAGCTAGAGCGAGAGGCCATTGGTGGGGAGGGATGGTTAGGGATGGGGACAAGCAGCAGAGAGGGCAGCACCTGTGAACATCATCCCGGCTGATCTCTAAGTGTCTTTGCTTGTTTTTCTTTGTTTGGTCTGTTGTCTTTTTGACAGTGCAGCTCAACATGGACACCGTGTGCAAGCCTTGCCTTACAGGCTACTTCTCAGATGCCTTTTCTTCCACTGACAAATGCAAACCCTGGACAAAGTAAGTAACAACAAAGTAGCCAAAAGAGTTAGTGTTTTTGAGCAACTCGACCCCTGATGTCTCATCTGGGTTGAAAACAAGCTGATTCCATTGGGGTAGGCTTCCTCTTAGGAAAACATGCATCAGTTCAGTGTGGGGAAAATAAACTGGTCAACCCAGTTCTTCAACCTGATGTGTGACAGGGACATTGTGTTACTTATTAAATTCAGTAGTCTACCAGCACTAGGAGGCTGAGGCAGGAGGATCATTGCAAGTTCAAGACCAGCTTGGGCTACAAGGTAGGCTCAAGGCCAGCCTAAACTGCATGGCAACACCCTGTTTGAAAAAGACAAAAAAAGTCAATGGTTTGTAACTTAATGTTGTATATTTTGGTTTATTTTTTTCTAAAATTATTTGGTTGAAAATGACTTATGACTTGTTTTTGGTGATGCTGGGGATCAAATCCAGGGGGCAAGTACCCCACTACTGAGTTACACCCCCAGCCCAATATATGACGTTTCTATCATTCGCTTACTATTCCTACTTTTCCTAATTTCCCAACATCACTGTTTTATTTACCCAGAGTTTGTATGTCTGCACTACGTATGTGCACAGAAAAGCTTCCTGTATGTTGATGCCTTCTGGATCTTTGTGGCTTTTTAAAGCAACATAAAATTTCAGTGTAGAAGTACACCATACTTTATTTAATAAATTTCTGGATACTCATTTAAATTGTTCCCTGTCTCTTGCAGTAATGCATAATTTTGCAGTGAATAATCTCCTGTAGAGGTTAATTGTCTCTTATTCAAAATGCTTGGGACCAAAAATATTTCAGGTTTCAAATTTCTTTGAGATTTTGGAATATTTTCATATGCATATTGAGGTAGAAGACTGCCCAAGTTTAAGCACAGAATTCATTTTGCTTCATATACATATTATATACATAGCAAGAAGGTAATTTTGTATGTTATTTTAAATTATATTTGTGAGTAAAACAAAGTTTCATAGTGTCAGGGTTTCTAATTATGGGGTCATGATGGTACTCAAAAAGTTTCATATTTTGAAGCATTTTGGATATTAGGGTTTTTTTTAGTTTAGGGATAATTAACCTGTTTATGTAATGACACACTTATATGAGTTTATCTATTGTGAAATTCCCCATATAATGATTCTTTCAGTTCCCAATATATTCTTATCAAATGCTGATTTTCTGATCTGTGTGTCCAATTTTATGTTGAAAATATATTCTGTATTTTTCACCTTCAAAAAAGGATTCGTCAAAAGCTCACCATTTAGCCATGGTAACTGAAGCGTTTAGAATCTGCTTTACTGCACTCTCACTTACCGTGGTCTCTGCAGCTCTAAAGGGTTTCCTAAGAGATTCCTCCACTTTTGTGACGTTCCGAATCCCCTCTAGACTCAAATGTCCAAGAAGACACGGGCCCCCTTCCCGAAGGACCTGGCAACCTATCCATAGTATAGTAGAACTTCTTTGTTTTTAAAACAAGAACATTAAACCAAAGCAGTGAACTATTCTTCCTCCACAGCTGTACTGTTCTCGGAAAGAGGGAAGAACATCGTGGGACAGAGAAATCAGACGCGGTTTGCAGTTCTTCGCTGCCATCTAGAAAACTGCCGCGGGGTATGCTTGACCCCGGCCTCCTGGCTGATAGATGTGCCCAGTATGGTCAGCTGTCTGGTTGTCTCAGGAATTGCATACTGTGTTTGCACGGGTTCATCTGTCCCTTTTCATTTCATCCTCTCCATGGTCAGCTCAATATTCCGTTTTTGTTTTGTTTTGTTTTTGTCTTTTTCCTTTTTATTGGTACCAGGGATCGAACTCACGACTGCCTGCTTGCAAGGCAGGCCCTTATGCCGCTGAGCTAAATCCCCAGCCCCTCAATATTCCATTTTTACCAGCATTTTAATTCTAGATATGTTATTTATTCAATTTTTTAAAAGGTAGTGCTAAGTCCCTGTTGGTGACTTCTAGGAAAAAAAAAATAGTGCTAAGGCTTGAACTCAAAGACTTGGACAGTCTAGAGTACTTGATAACTTTTTTACACTGGATTGGAGACAACTAATGATATATTTATATGCAGAAAGAAAACGAAACTGCAAATATAAAATAAAAATTCCCAGCCACCATAGGGTGGTGGTAGTCACAGTGAAACGTTTGTGAGGAGATTTTGCTCATGAGCCAGAGACAGCAACTTGTTAGAACCTAGCTGTCGTGACTTATAGAACATCTGTAAATCAAATTAATCTTACACAGAGTTTCAAAGATTAATTCAAAGTTGCTGCTAGTGAAGGAGGCTGGTTACGTCAAGTGGTCAGAGTGGAGGTGGGTGTGGATGTTGCTGCTGTAACCTTTCTAACGGGGCAAGAGAACATGGTCACAGAACAGTAAGGGAGACAAGACCAGACATTAAAGCACGTGGATATGAAGTTACACAAACAGAGCAGAGTTTTTTTTTTTTTTTTTTTTTTTTAATTTTATTTAAGGAGAAAAGAAAAAAAAAAAAGCAGGGAAAGGGTACAAGTTATACAGATTTACAGAAAAAAAATGAACAGTAGGAAATCACTAGTTAATGGATTACATATTGTCATCTTAGAAATAATTGTTCAAGTCACAAAATTAAAGCTTGTAAAGTGGACATTCCATCAATGATACTGCAAACAGTTCTGTTCATTGATCCAATAAAACTCTGTGATATCATTTTCTATCTTATACACTTAAATATACATGCAGTTATATAGTTTAGAGCACTTTCTTTTCCTCTCTTTTGTACCATGACTATTACACATTTTGGGTTTCATTGCTCCCACGGTTCTTATTACTTTTTTGGAAGAGAGTAAAACCAAATGTGACATAACAGAACAGAATCGGTCAAGTCAAAAGGGTGGACATAATAGATAATGTAAAAACATAATACAGGTGATCAACAATGGTTACCATAATGTCTCCCGCTATCTCTAATAGAATTGCCTATATCATTAGTTATAATACAATTGAACAAAACAGTAAAGAATAAAACCGACAAAACCAAAACATTGGAGACATTGTAGGTCTTCAAAAGTAGCTAAAAGTCAACAAGAATGGGCGTCATAATGAATCTCATTATCTTCACAGCTGATGCCTAAACTTTCGAACCTGATACTATCCAGCAAAACAGAATAGGGGAACATCAGTTAAAAACCAGATGGTGAGAGTAATACAGGGCTTTAAATCAAGGTAATGAAAAGTCAAAATGGGTTACTATAATATATCCTGCTATTTTTTTCCTTTAATTAAAAGGATAAAGATAAAAAAGTAAATAATGGAGTGGAGATTGAGATAAAAGAGGGCATAACAACGAAACAGCGCAGATCAAAACATAACCATTTAAGCAGAATAGTGTTTCACCACCAGATAATCCTAACCTAAAAGTAGTTACCATATTGTTTCTTTCTTTGAAATCCTTGAGTACAACTTCGTATACTGTAGCATTAAGTATATCAAAACAATGTAAAACCATTCAAGAGAATGACAGCATTACAGAGTATTTAGAATCGACTAACAGAAAATGAACAATGGTTTCTGTATAATCTCCTTGTCTTTAAAAGGTTTTTGCTTATACTATCGTACATAATAAAATCCAATAAGATACAGTCTATTTAGACCATTGGAGACAGAAGGACAAAAGCTAGATGAGACTTCAAAACAAGATGATACTAAATCAGTATTACCTATTAAGATGTCATTTTCTCCAAAATAGCTGTTCCTATCATCCAATCTTCTCTGCCTCATTTCTGTTAAGCTCTTTTTCTGTCAGTAGCTGTCAGTTTGTCTTCTTCATTTTGTTCTCTGCTCCATTTGTTGTGGCCTCCCCGCCACTATTTCTGGATTCTTTGTATTTTTCTTTTTTTAGAATATCCTGCAATACTTTCTGTAGAGTTGAATTGGTGGTTGCAAATTCCCCCAGTTCCTCTTTATCCTGGAAGCACCTTGTTTTTCCATCAATTTCCAGGGACAGTTGTGCAGGATATCTCAATCTTGGCTGGAGATTATTATCTTTCAAAGCTTGAATTATTTCCCCCCATGCGGAGCAGAGTTTTTTTGTTTTTTTTTTTTTTTTTTGTCTTTTTCGTTTTTAGCGGTACCAGGGATCGAACTCACGACTGCCTGCTTACAAGGCAGGTGCTTATGCCGCTGAGCTAAATCCCCAGCCCCTCGGAGCAGAGTTTTTAAAAGACCATTTGGAAGATGAAAAATAACTGAAAAGCAGCATGGAAAATGGTGAAGGATAATTTTTAAAAGGAGCAAGAGGGAAAGGAAAGGTGGGAGTCTGGAAAACAAGGGTTTAGAATGCAAGATTCTGACAAAGAAGTGGCTGAGGTGTAGCACAGAAAGTGATGCAGGCCACATTGCATCAGAGCTGAAACAGCAGGAATACTCCCCGGGGTGCTGCGGGCCTTCTCATGGCCAGTGAAACGCTGGCACCGTGCTGGCATTTGGACAAACGTGATGAAAGCTTCCTTCTGCTTGCCGGCAAAAGGAGAGAGGAAGCAGGATGCAGGGAGCACAGAAGGAGGGTTGTTAAGAAGTAGAGACATAGCGATGATCCTGGACTGACCGCACACAGATGGAGCCCGGCCAAGCAGCGCTGGGCTTGGCAGTGCCAGCTCTCTGAAAAATGCCCAGTTAGGCATTGAGAGCGCCCTGCTTCTGTTATTCCTGACCCACAGCCAAGACTCTGACTTTGGATTTCTAGGGTTTTGTTTTTAAAGTTTGTAAAATTAAATATCCTTTAATATTGTATTTTTCATTTTCTTCCAACACAGAGCCCCGGATTTACCTGCCCAGTGTAATCATCCTGCTTCTCTTCGTGTTTGTGGCATTAGTAGCTGCTGTCATCTTTGGTGTTTACTATAGGAAAAGGGGAAAAACAGTGACAGGTACAGTGTCTATCGTGGTATTTGAAAATTAATCTTGAAGAAGTAGATACAGTACATTTGTAGATTAATGTTTTGGAAAATGAATAGATTGTCCACCACTCATAGATAGAATCTGTCTACATAAAGATGGTTGCACTTTAAATGAGAAAACACCCCCTGTATTTGATTCATTATTCTCTAGCAAACAAACAAAACAAAAATCCAACTTTGCACCCATTTTAGCATTTGGGGAAACTGATGACTTGTCACCTTTGTGCTTCGGTTGTGTAGCATCAGATCTGCAGGGCCTACATCTGTCTTTGAACATATAAATTTTTAATGTATGCGTTTCAAACAGAGACAGAATGTGCAGATAAAGAATGAAGGAGGTTTTGATTGGGATGTTATCTGCAAACGTGAATCTAAAATTATAAGTTATCTTGTATCAAGTTGAATTTAGGTGCTCATTCTTAGAATGGATAATCAGATGTTGCTTTTGATAGTGTCTTTAAATATCACATCATGTTTGACTTTTATACGACAAAGCTAAAGAAGTATAATTTTTATGAAAGGATGCAAGGCTTTATTCAGCTTGACAGAAGTAGTTCGTGATCGTCTCATGCTCAAATCATTCTTTCCTGAGGCACCGTCATTTTGCCAGCCTTTTCTGTTTGCAGTTACTCACTGGTTTCTTTCACCCACCTCTGCTCTGCTGTGATTTGGTCAGTCCTTCCACATCACATCCAGGACTTCATGGAGCTCTGTATATCTTTATATTCCTATTGACATTATGTTGACTAATGTCCTGAGCAGTAAAAGATAATTAAAGAAAAACATGGTAACTGAAGGTGTGATTGCCAAGTGAGAGCAGTCTTTGCACAAGGACCATGTTTTTTAATGAGTCCATTTGTTACTGACAGAATTAACAAAGAAAATGGTGAAGTCCGAAATGTGTCATAGATGACACAGCAGAAGTGCTTCCCAGGGTGGCCTTTCACTTGTCTAACAGCACGACCTAAGATTTAGATAATATATGTTCATATGATGAAGATCACTTAGTCATGTTAATGTGAGACAGACTTTCTGATGTTTTGTTCTTTAGTTGTTTCTAGTTAATAATATTTTACTCTGTATCTTATCAAAAAACCAGTAAGCCAATTAATTACTTGATTGGGAATTATGACTGCTGGCTTGCTTTACATCCATTTATTCCACACATTTTATTGATCATCTGGGACAGTACTAGGCTGGAGCTTCAATACTGAATCACAAAGACACAGCCAGGACCTTCCTGGAGGAGTCATCTTAGTGGGCAAGAGACGTGTCAGGTTTCCAGAGAGAAGCAGAGGATGGAAAGGTAGATGCCAGTGCCAGGTAGCAGATGCCAAAAGGTCTTCCCAGCCTGGGGTCAGCTGGGTATTTCCAGAGGAGAAAAGAGGTGAGCTAAGCCCCGAGAGACCAGCTGGACCTTTCTAACTACCTTGGGGAACCGAGGTGAATCGCAGTATCCTGCACTGAGAGAACCGTACCCTGGGGGAGGTAGCAGCTTGGGAGATTAAAAGAGGCTCACGCAGCAGAGTGCAAAGCCGAAGAACCACCCCAAGGTAAGCCAGGTGACACCACTGAGCAGGCCTTTTAAGGAGCTGACTCCTTATTCTCAGCCAAGAGAAGCAAGAACAGCCCTCTGGTTATAACACAGAAAACAAATTAGGGGGCCGCTAGAAGAGATGCAGGTACACTACTTAGTAAGGGTAGTAATTTTCCAAGGAGAAATGATGAATGGATATCACCTCGGGCGTATGTATTATTTTTAGCACAATTTGTACTCAGTACTGATTTCTGTAAGGAAAGAACTGCAACTGTCTTTTGATTTGGAGTAATTTTATTTTTTTTAAATTTTATTTTAAAGAGGGTAAAACTAAACATAACAAAATAGAACAAAGCTGATCAGAAGAAAAAATGTAAATGACACAGATTTCAAAGCAAGACAAGGGGTTATTTTATTTTGATAAATTTTAAAATTATAGGAAAACAAAATGATGATCATGATGATGATAGCAATAACTGACACATTTTGATAGTACGTAACACTATGGATATATGCATTTGTATGTCCCAAATAAATTTTAACAACAGCATCTTGAGGTACTGTTATTTCCCCATTTTCTGATGAGGAAAATGAGGCTCAGAGAAGTTAAACTGTGCAAGATCACAGAGTAGAAGCTACACTCCAAATGATATTATATGTGTCATTCAGTAAGCACCGTGCCTGGTACATTTAAGAGCTCAGTGGCTTAAAGATCATTAGCTATTATTATGAACTGAGATTATCTTCCAGTGAAGAAATGAAAAATCCTAAATTTAGTCTTCATAGTGAAAACAACATTGAATATTCATTAGAGGTGGGTTAAAACTTTATCTTTGTGTTATACAAATTCATTCAAAATTCAGACTTTGATTTTTATATTTCATTGCTTCTATTTTATGAAAATTATGGAGATATACTTTGTTTATACCAGAGAACATAGTATCCTTAGAAGCAAAAATGTACAGTCAAAGAGATTTGCTGCTGGAACTCAGTGGGTCTGACCCTTAGCTCTCTAGCTTGAACACCACGTTTTTTTCCCTTAAGCTATACGGAGGGGAACCCAGAGACCTTGTACTGACATACGTCCCATCTTCTTTTCTTAAAAATTTGAGACAAGGTCTCACTAAGTTGCTAAGTTTCCCAGACTGAACTTGAACTTGAGATCCGCCTGCTTTAGCTTCCCAGTGTGTCAGGATCACAAGCATGCACCACCATGCCAAACTGCACCTCATTTTTATTGTACATATATCTAAGCTAATGTTCAGTCACTTTATCATCTCTGGGACAAAATACCCAATACCCACAGTTTACATGAGGACAAGCTCACGATTCAGGAGATTCAGTCCATAGTTGGTTGGATGAGTTCAGGAGAGAAATATCATGGTGGCAGTTCATAGTGGAGGAAAGCTACTCATTTCTCCGCAGCTACTCAGATCTCGGCAGCCAGTAAGCAGAGATAGAGACACAAAGGAGGAGCTGGACCCAAGAATACATCCTTTCGGGTCACATTCCCAGTCCTCCATTTCTTCCAGCTCCTAACAGTACATCCATCTATGAACTTACAAGTGGGTTAAGCCACTTCTGAGTATGTTGCCCCCGAGACACAATACCTTCCAAAAAGTTCCACCTTTGAACACTTGAGATCTGGGGGGGACATTTTAGATCTAAGTCACAAGAGCCAGTTTTCTGGAAAATCAGTCTCCTAGACATATCTTCTTGTCCCCTAACATGCCTAACTCAGTCTCTCAAAGTCAGTGAAAAATTCCCGAGAACGTAAATACAAGGCTATTGCAATTGTCTGTAGTCTAAAAGCAACTCTTAGAGCCCCAGATGAGAACACAGGTATTTTATGGACCATTAGTGGGCCATATTTTTCATTATATAGAACAGGAAGTTCTGTTTTTGATAGGAGTTAGACGACTTCATAGTCTTTATGCATTGTGGGGAGCTGGTACATGTATACAACACATCTCATTATTTTTCCCCCTTCCCCTTCATCCCTATTTAATTTTTTTCTTTTTGCCAGCATAAGATTCATTCATTTATTTTATAAATCCTTCTCAAGTTAACACAGATTGACAGTCAGACTAGTAGGGCAAAAATCACATAATACAATTATATTAAATCAAAGTACACTTTTAGTTATATTGGCCAGGCTGGATTACAATCTATCTATCTCTATTTCTATCTCCCTGTCTCTCTCTATCTCTATCTTGCCTGTGTTTTCACAGTCGTTAAATCAGCGTATTTATTTATGGTTATGAACCTAGGGTCTCCTGTATGCCAGCCAAGCAATCTGTTATGAGCTACCCTCTCAGCCCCCATTGACTGGTTTTTAAATTTACTTCTAGGCTCACTGGCAGTAGTACTAGAGTATGTTTAAGATAGTATTGAACTAACATAGTGGTCAAGAATTCTGAACCTGACACCGAAAAGTAAGTTGTTCTCACATGAGGCACCATTAAAAAAATAAGAAAGTCAAATATACAAAAATGGAAAATAAAACGTTGGTTACAGCGCCAAGGGGAGAGGAAATGGGGAAATGTAGGTCAAAGGACACAAAATAGCATGTATACAGAATGCACAACTTTGGAGAATATTATTGTATTTAAGCTTTTCTGCTACGTAAGCTGAGTTTAGCTCTTCTTGCCACGTACACATACACACATGCACACACGGGTTGCTGTGGTGTGACATGACAAGTACTAATTTATTTTACTATAGTATACCCGTATAGGTCCTGTACCATCATGCTGTATGACTTCAATATGCAAAAACATGTAAAAAAAAAAAGAAGTAAAAAATGTCAAAAATGTATTTTAGAAAAGAACCTGGGAAGCATAATATGAAGCCCTTATCCTTGCTTTGTTTTTTTTAGCGAATTTGTGGCACTGGGTCAATGATGCTTGCAGTCGCCTAAGTGGAAATAAGGTAAAGTTAAAAGTCTTTAGTGCCTTCTTTAAGTACTTTCAAAAATTAGCCTGATGTGATGTTTCTTGCTGAATCACCCGGGGTCCAAGTCAATGCTCATTCTAAAGGCCTGGGGGTTTTGTTTGTTTGTTTTTTGTGTTTTGTTGTTGTTCCGTGTTTGTTGGTTTTGCTGGCATCGAGCTCAGGCTTTGCACGTTAGGCAGCCGCTCCACACTGCCTCCTTCTTCTCCTGCCATCCCTCTACAGTGTTTTTCTAGAACCAATCATGATTGCCTCGTCCAGCGTCCTGGGAGGAGGAATAAGCTACAACTCTCCTTTGTTCTTACAGTTGCTTTGGTAACTTTTTATTTTGACATACTTTAAAAACTACAGCAAAAAGATAGTGAAAGTGCTATATTCTCTCTCACTCCTGTCACCAGTGGTTAATATTTTATCACATTACTTTATTCTTTGCTTTCTCTCTCTCAGTATGTGAATATGCATATTTTTCTTGAATCATTTTAAAGTGAATGGTGATGATGTGTTCCTATATCTTTAAATACCTCAGTGCATACTTTGTAAGAATAAGGACATTCTCATATATGTCTGCAGTACATTTGTCAAATCAAGATATTTAACAATTTATAATAGTATAACACTATTTTCTAATTCACATTTGATACTAAAATTAGATCAATTCTATTTTGCCTTTTACATTTATTTTCTGAGATAGCTGCTTTAAGACCATACTGAATTCTCCGATTCCAGTCCCAACACTAAAGAATTCATTCTCATCTTTCCCTTTTTTGAATGTGAATTTTCTTTTCCCTAGTATTATGACACTTGGCTCCTCTTCTTTCAATATGTTTACTCATTTGCTCAGTTATAAAATACACAGAAAGTAGTTTCAGAATTACTCAACCTCACCACAGAAAAGACAGAGCTACTTACTAGAGTTGAATATTTAGTTACGGTTTGGTTTTATGATGATATTGCTCTCTATTTTGATGGATAACATATAGTCAAAATGTTGTACTCAGCCAGGTGCAGTGGTGCACTCCTGTGATCTCTGCACTTGGGAGGCTGAGGCAGGAGGATTGCTGTGAGTTTGAGGCCAGGCTAAGTTACATAGTGAGTTCAAAGCCAGCCTGAATTTTGTGGTAAGACCTTGACTCAAAACAAAACAAAACATAAAATCATACTGTTCTTTCCTTACACAGGAGTGACTATGCTATTCCTTGGAAATGTAATAAGATGGATTAATTTCTGGTTGTATTCCATTTTAGGGCTCTTCTGAAATCTGTAATTTTAAATAGAACAAATAGAGTTTAAATTCTTTTTTTATAGGCTAACAAACTCAGAACCTCACACTTGCCAGATAGGTGCTGTGCCAGTGAGTTATATCCCTGGCTTAAATAGAACAAACAATGTGCTGTGGTGGATGTGCCATCTGTACATATTATGGGGAAATAATTAGGATAAACACTGTTTTCAGCAGTGGTTACGTGAGCGTGGTCTCATAGCTCTGGGTACTGATGCTTCTGCCTTCTGAATCTGTATCTACAGGAGTCCTCAGGCGACAGCTGTAACAGTGTCCACTTGGCAGCCTCTCCTCAGCACGAGGTGTGTGAAGGTGTCTTCCTGCTGACTCTGGAGGAGAAGATTTCACCAGATAGGTGCTGTCTGGACGGTGCTGGTGTCTTCAGGGGTGCACGTGCAGGAGCTGGGCCCTGTGCACAGGGTGAAGAAGCCAGGACTTTCTCTCTGGTGGAGATCGATGGGGACCCCTTCAGGCAGATTCCCACGGAAGACGAGTACGTGGATAGGCCCTCGCAGTCCCCAGAGTGTTCCCTCTTGCGGACCCAGCCTGGAAGCAAATCCACACCCCCTTTTTCGGAGCCCCTGGAGGTGGGGGAGAATGACAGTTTAAGCCAGTGCTTCACAGGAACTGAAAGCGTGGTGGATTCAGAAAGCTGTAACTTCACGAAGCCCCCGTATAGAACTGACTGCATTCCTGAGTCCCCTGAAAAATATTCCCCAAAAGAGGGGGGAGATGGCGGCGGCCCACGCTGGGCAGCCAGCGCCAGCTTGGCAGGTGACTGCACAGGCTGCGGGGACCCTCCCGGGGAGGACCATGATGCCCTCGAGAGTTCCCCGACGTGTGGACACTTGCCTCAGTGTGCCTGTGGCATCGGCCTTCCCACTGAGGAAGCAGCCAGCAGGGCAGAGGGGGGTGAAGCGCCCCAGGATGGGGATGATGCCAGGCTTCCAGGCTCCTCCAGGGGAGGCCCCGGATCTGGGAGCTCCTCCAGTGACCAGCCTCCTGTGTCTGGTAAGTTACTGTCCTGGTTTCCCACACTGAGCAAAAGGGCCTGTTCTCAGTCCAGGGTTCAGGGCAGGTATCAGACCGTTCAGGGAACAAGAAACAGATGGGAAAATCCAGCCTGAGCATTTTCTCTTAGTAAGCATCTTTGCTGGAGGTGTTTAGGTTCAGTCCAGTATCAGGTGGTGCAGAGCGCTCACTTCTGTGACATCATCTTCCACCCCGGGGCTCCTCCCACACACACACATCCCACATCCTTCCACATTCAGGGTTCTCAGGGTGGGGTTAGATGTCAGCCCGCACACTGACACCTGCCAGAGTCAACATCCCCCTCAGGTCAGGCTGAATCAAAGTGTAACCACAGATTTATGGTGTTTGTTTGTTTTAAAACTAACCAAAATCTGTTAAATCTCTCTCAAGAAAGCTCTAATATCAGGAGAACAAAAAAAATTATTTAGTTAATTGTGAATTACTTAATATTTGAGTAGCATCTTGATGCCCTACCAAATGAATGGTGCAGTAAAAATGTCCTCAAATGCCTTATAGGAGAAACCAATTTTATAAACAGTATGTATAATATGTTTATAGAAGCCATATGATAATTTATAGTTTAACACTATCATAGAGATTTATGGCTGCAGCAGTGCTCAAGCACAACAAACTCACCAGTGAGACTGTGACTTTTTCCTGAGGGCACAACACATCTGCTTATGTGTATACTTCACAGCTGTTAGTGAGGCTTCCTTTGGCTCTGGGAATTATTAGCTTCATGAGAGGTCAAGGATCTTCTGAGAATCTTCTGAAAGGTGGAGGCATTCTTTCCAGAAAATGAATCAATGAATATATATTTAAATTATATATGTTAAATATACTTGAGGGGCTTAATGAAATCCTCCAACTCTCCAAAAAAAAAAAAAGCGCCCATTTATGGGCCACCTGTGTCCAGACATGCTTTTTCTTTCCTGTCTCTTGATTTGGACTGCAAGTGGCGCTAGCAGCCAGCTCACTCTGAATTATTCTCTAACCCTGAGGTAGCTAGATCTGTGCCTTCAGCAGACACTCTTGTGCCTTGAGGTAATGAGGGCTCCTGGCTTGTTTCAAAAAACAATGGTGCTTTAATATTTGTCAGGCTTTGTGGTTTGCTGAAACTACACAAATCTGCGGTATGTAAATTTTGACCTGTAATTACCAGTTAAACTGAAAGGAGAAGATACATTTTTGTATACTTTTGAAAGAATGGGTGTAGTTTTCCTTCAGAAGACCTCAAAATTTATTTTTAAGGTTTTAAAGAATTTCCATGACTAGAAATCAGACCTTGTTCTTTTTTTTTTTTTTTTTTTGCATTGTTCTAATGGAGATTGTAGCAGCTTGTTTTCTTCCCTGTGGCTCCAGAGACTCACAGAACACAAGATCTTTGTGTGCTGTGGGAACACGAAGGCTGCATCTCTGTCTATGACAGCAGCCAGGTCTTGATACCAGGGTAGATGGCACTGGGCACGCTGAGGAAGTCCTAAGTGGTTCTTGGAAGAAATGGTTGACCAAGTTTAAGGAGATTCGTATTCATATTCTCTCTCCTCCCTCCCGGTGTGTGTGTGTGTGTGTGTGTGTGTGTGTGTGTGTGTGTGTGTGTGTGTGTGTATGCGTGCGCACATGTATGTTCATTGTCCTGAACCCACCAGTCAAATCTTTGCTCTCCTGTCACAGAGTTAAATTGGCAGCCTCTCCTGATTTTCATTATTTCTTCAGGACTAAACCTGTAGGCATCGAGGAAAGGAATAAAAAGTGTGTTGTCAACCGAGTGGTGTTAATTTGCAACAAGTTTATACTGCTTTTTCTGTCCCTGTCTGGTGCTCAGCCATGCAAAACATCTGGAGAGAGCCTGCCCGTGCTCAGTTGCCAGCCAGTGGGTGAAATTAATTTTCGCCTGAAGAAAAGCAGCAGCCAGATTGATTTTAGAGGCTGTGCTGTTATCTCCAAAGTTATTTCTACATGATCAAGCCTTATGGTTTCTGGTCAAATAGTACATTCTCATTCTTTTTTTCTTTAATTATCATAGTTTATGTTCTATAAGATGTGTGAAAGAAGAGGGACATGGATGAAAAATAAGCCAGGAGTCTGATCTCTCTGGATCTCCCAAAAGACACTGTGTTCTCAGGACTTAGGGAGACCCCATGGGGGTTTTGGATTTTATAAATATTATTTTGTTTAAACCTGTGACCATATCTACTGGTTTCTGGAGAAATGACAATGACTGGGGAGTTCTATAGGAAAAAATATCTGCATTGCGCCAGGATTTTATTAAGCGAATGTTCTTCAGACAATTTCACAAGTATAGACAATTAAAAGAAAATACCCAAGCTGTTAAGGCAATTTGCTATAACCCTTAAAGAACAGTAAGAATTATTAATGAAGACCAACAGAGGGACCAACACATTCTTTTGGTCACGTTTGAAGCAACCATGCCTTAATCTATGTCTTAAATGATGTCTAATCCTGATGGCTGTTTGCCTTGGTTACAAACGTGCTCAGGCAGAGGTAAGAGAATTCCCACTGTGCCGCTGGAGAATTATTACTTCATATGGAAGAAATGATGGCTACTTATAATTAATGTGTCTGTCACTAGCCGGTGACTTGGCTTTGGCTCCCTAAAGTCATTCATTTGGCTCAATCATTTTTGAGCAGGAGGTTTTTAGGCCCCCAACAATTCATGATGGACCTGAGCCCCAGCTACATATTTTCTTTGTATGAAACCTTTATTGAAGGTCTACTGAGCCAGAGAGACTTGGACAAACTGGAAAACAAGTAGAGATTAATGTCAGAGAAGGGGGAGTGCAAAAAGAACCAATAATTTAAGAAATGAAGTCCTCTCAGTGCTGCGGTCTTTGTGTGGTTCATGAGGAGTCCTGGGCTATTTCTCATGCAGCCAAGATACTGTTACCTCTTCTATCAACAATTCAGGTTGATCAGTTGCAACCATTCAATAGGAATTGTCATAACCTTGACATCCCTCATCTTTCTAATATCTCTGAAGGTGGTTCAGTTGTGATACATGCAGTGAATAAATGTCATAATCTTAGTCATTCAACCAGTCAGAATAAATAAAATGCACAAGAAACCACCATTCCTATTTTTGTCTTCTGGAGTGTTTTCAGCCTCATACTGGTTTCCCCCTAAGAGCTGGAGAGAAGCGTAGGATGGAGGGAGAGGCCCTGGTTGTCCTGGGCACACCCAGCTGTCCTGGGCAGAAGTGGCAGAGGCCACAGAACAAGGATGAGCTGGCCCATCCAAATGGTACAGACTCTCTAAAGCAGACTCCTAGGAGCAGGGGAACTGAGATGCTGACACCTGTTTGACTCCTCATTTATGCCTCATCCTCATTCCGCATCCCTGGGTCCACCAGCTTCTGAAATGTCTGTTCTTGACCATCCATTTCCATTCTGAAAAGATGAGAAAAGGCTTTCCTACCCACATTTTCCTCTTTTGTCCCCCCAGCAATGGGTCATCATCTGTTTCTAACTTTCTTCATTCTCCTGTTAGAATGAATGCCATCCACCAACTTGAATTTCAACTTACAGTCTGGTAGTGTAAACTGGACACTAATTAGTTCTTTGGTGCTGAATCTTTAAGTTAAAATTATTATTTTATAATTTGATTATTTGATAATAATATTCTGCATTCATTGGTACTAAAAGTCAATGCATCATTTAAAAATATATAAAAATGTGATTTTATATACTTTCCTTAATATAGTCCTGCCTCCTTTTTTACTAATAGAACTTATTTGTGGAGGGTTTGGTCCTAAGACTGCACTTTTCAAGCATGATTTATGATGGAACTATTAAATATTCCTCTTCCGCTATCTTCCTATCCCCAGTTTCTTCCTCATGCCTGAAACAGAGCTTGCAATTCCATAAAAAGGAAAGTCATATGAGAAGCATATGGGTTAAATATAAAATACATTTTTAAAAAATTCCAAAAGAACCCAATGAAGCCTGGGTAGTTTGAGTGTATTTGTGTATATTTTTAGTTCTGTTCCTTGGAAGAAAATCTACATCACAATTTAGTGCTATTACTTGGCATAGTTGTGATTTAATATTCATATGCCATGCATTTTAAACAATATAATAGCTTTTGAAAAGAAAAGTGTGCATTACCTTGCTTAAAAATGTAAATTCTGTGAGGCATTGCATTCTTAGAATTAGGTTTATTCTTTCTGCCCGAGAAAAAGAGGTGTCAGGGAGCCTGCTATATAAAGCATGGGCTTACCAAAGTATAAACATCCTTCTGATTATAAGGAACACATCATTTGTGCATTGTTTCTGTTGATTTTTGATGCTATTTTTAACACTCTCAAGTTATCTGAACATGTTTCTCATACTAAATATTAATGTTAAATCAACTAACCAATTTTAAATGTTAGAAACTCTTTAAAATTTATAATTTTATAAAAATCTCCAACTCATTTTGCTTTTTAAGTCAAACCTTTGGGCAGCATTCTGGTAGTTATATTGCATTCAGACACCTGTAAGATTGTTGTTGCTATCCTGAAAGTTTCAGCCTTATCAATGATACTTTAGATATTAAGTACCAGGCACTAAGCGCTTTGTGTACATGGTCTTTTTAATTATTCCCAGAAATCCTTGGGTCAGGTTCCCCACTCAGGATCACACTGTTAGGCTGAGATTCAAATGCCTAACAGTGAAGCTTGTCCATTAACACATCACATCATCTCCTCCTGAGTCAGTGCAGGGGCAGTGATTTAATTCAATTACTGTGCCTTGGGGAGCCCTCTACAGAATAAGGGCCAACACAGGCCCCGGGGAATTGGCTGCCCTGGCTGAGTGCCAGGCAGAGGCCAGGCCAGGTGCAGAAAGGGACCTTAGGGTGTGCAGTAAGTGATGGTTATTTGGCCCATTAATGGACTTCTGCCACGTGTCTCTGAAAGTTTCTATTTTCACATCACTGGTTTTTTTATTGGAGAAAACTCTTTCACCCACAAGCCTCCAATT